GAGTTAAATTCAACAATTAGTTTTAAACTTACAAGTTCTGGTCGGTGGGGTAGGTATATAACTGTTAAAAACAAAATAATATGTAAATTTCTATGAGAAGTTTATTACCTGTGTGTCGACCTGCAGGATCGGCAAATTTGGTTTTCCAAATTCAATAAGTGAAGTTCCGTCAAGGTTTTTGACTTCGGGCAACACCATGCCAAAACCAGGGTAGGAAATCATATCTACACTGCAGTGCAAATGGCGGCTATCCATCGTCAAATTCCAACTGACTTGTTCTTCCTTATATAACTTTTTGAGAGAGGTATTTTATATTTTAATAGATTTCGGAGAAACTTGTAAGCGCAAAATATTTAAATTTCTATGAGAAGCTTATTACCTGTGTTTCGACCTGCAGGATCGGCAAATTTGGTTTTCCAAATTCAATAAGTGAAGTTCTGTCAAGGTTTTTGACTTCGGGCAACACCATGCCAAAACCCGGGTAGGAAATCATATCTACACTGCAGTGTAAATGGCGGCTGTCCATCGTCAAATTCCAAATGACTTTATGTAGTCCTGATTGGCTCATTGTTCCAATCAACACAACGATCATCAACACAAAAACCGTAAAATACAGTTCATACATATTGTATTAGCTGTAAGAAATCCTTCGAAACAGGAAAAATTAGCAAAAACGGTTCGGAGAAATATGTTGTTTTACACTGAAATGGTGCGGTGATACAAATGTAATAACAGTTACGTTATAAACAAGCCGTTTTTAATACACATGTTACCTATATTAGTAGTATTTGCCAGCATATATAAATATATAGAATGTTTTTTTTAAAAAACATATGTTCTACTTTTTACCGTTAAAAGTTCCGAAGTGTATTTTACACTTGTTGTAGGTATAATATGTTAGACCTATCTTCAGACTTATAAGAAAGCCAACGCTCGGTTGAGGCTGTACATAACAAATCTATTACAATTTTGAAATCTCCAAAAAAAAATATTAATCATTGTCAATGGTGATTTGAAATAATCTATTGGTATGATAGAAGCCCAGTGACACTCAAGTTTATTTTAGTAATATCCTACGGCCGGGGAAATCATCGGTTCAGAAACAATGATTTTTATAAATAAATGTGTGATAATTATTCTAAAAAAAAACCTTTTTGAAGAATGTGCATAATATTCTATTTTTGGACTTTGGTAAGTACAAAGTTGATCGTCTGTCTACAATAGTAACAAGTCACTTTATTTCTAGGAAAATATTAATATTTTGAAAAACCGTGATTTCGTATTCTTTTTGGTTCATATTTTACTATATTTTTCAATACTGTGAAAATTCTTAACTTCATCCCTTATACGTTAAAAGATTAGTGACTTCATTTTTCCAAATGAGAACAACTATTTTTAACTCGATACAAAAGCAGTAAAAAATTAAATTTTACTATCGTCGTTAGATTTTTAATTTTCATTTATCGGGTCGTTACTTATTACGTTTTTAAGTCTTGAAGTTTTGATCAATATTCCTTTGGGATTTCAACACAGGTAGCATTTTACTTGCTGTTAAATAATATTATCAACCCCGTCGTCCGTCGTTAAAACCGATAACCAGACACTAAACACTCACTACATATTTTTGAGATTTGAGATAATATTATGCCCTAGCTACTAAAGATTTGGAAATGTTACCATCATCAATGAACATAATAATATTATTTTTCCAACCAAAAAAATCCATAATCAATGCCAATAAAACCCATATCGTTATTATACATTAAAAACCAAACGAATAGATTACAAAATATGTTATTTTATAAGGTTTGAAATGTTGTACACAAAGACTTACATAATCTATTCACATACATTAGTAATTCATTTAACTAGTATACAACTTAACTATTAAAATGATGCAAGATAAAACAATTTTTTTCGAATATAATTTATTTTAATTTAAAATTTCCCAAATCTAAATATACTATGAAAACTATCAATCATCTAATTATTTTCCTTGATTTGATCATCAAGGAGATAGACTGGATTGTCATATTTGTCAACTTCATAATAATTTCCATCAAAGTATCTGTATTTGAAGTATATGCGGTTTATAGCCGATATACAACAATTTATACCATCGATACCAGAAGTTACTAAATATAAAGTTGGATTTTCAATTGCTCTGAATAACCTTATTAAACGACACATGTTGAGATAAATTGCAAAATCTGGATCTTTTTCACCTAAAAAATACAAAAAAATTAAATTTAGCTCATTCGATATTAAAAGATAAAGTCTCATCTTTATGTTACTGTGTAATGCATCTTTGAATTAAGTGTATTTTAAGAAAAATCCAGTATCCACGTTGTTAACGCTCCATAGTTGTATTATTATTAATTGATTAATGTATACAGAAAATTATACATAAAATGATAAACAAATTTGATATGCATATTTACTTATTACAGTACGGATTATTTTTTTTATAGCTGGAAGAGTTGATAGTCTTCTTTTTCATCTCAAATTTGTCAGATAAGTGTCATTAAAATCGGCTTAAAAACAAAATAATAAAAACAAGTTTAAAAATATCTTGTTGCTAGTAGCGTGATATAGTTGAATTACATTTTAAAGAACTACAATTTTGCCAATTTTTGTACAACTTACCATTAGTACCTAAAAGCTACTTTATTGAGAGGAAATTCTAAATGTTAAATACTCCAACTTTAGGTATTACCGTCGAATTAGTTCCAAATTTTTATAGAACTTTGAACAAATTGAATTTTTTAGAATACATTTTTATTAGTGCATAACCATTATACGTTATGATTAGCCTAAAATATATAATAAAACCTCACCCTGAAATTTGTTTTTTATTTCTATTTTTTGAGCGTAGCAATGAGACAGAAATCTAGTCTTACAGAAATTCTAAAACAAAAACTTGCCCCCTTTTGGTTGAACTTGTTCATAATTAACCAAGCTATACCTCTATAATATGCATGTAAAACTGTGATTAGTGGTTACCTTCGTTTATCTGAGGTGCTTCGATACCTATAACCAAAAAATAAAGCAAACGATTATACAGTTAAAAAAAAAGTCAAATTTTATTTTCCATTTATAACAGTTTTTCTTATATTTGGGGAATACTTAGATAAATTATTCACCTAATACAATGTCAAAACTTCTAGCAGCCGCGTTTAAGTTAATGACTTTTAATAAGTTTTGAGCAACCATCCAAATCTTAAGAAGGCATCGCAACGCCTATTTTTAAGGAGTAAAGTATAGGCAATTTTTCACAAAATCTTAATTTAAAGGTTAAACTGTGATGTGTAACTATTAGTTCAATAACTAAGACTCTATTTTGGTAGTTAATTTATTTTTTGGACTATCACAGCATCCTTGAAAGCGATTTTAAAATGTTTTTTCATCTCTACATGTTTAAGCAGACTGAAAATATCTCGATTAATTTTGGTTTTAGAGTAACAGCACCTATTATAATATTGAAAGAGACGCCCTCTTAAGGAAAAATCATAATATAAGTATACAACTTTGAACTTTAATAGAATATTTATCGTATTTATTGCAACCATACAACTATTAAATTTAACCATTGTTCGTATGAAAATGTAGGTTTTCATATTTTATACCTGTTACAGAATATACAGAGTGAAACTCATTTTCTCGGAAAATATGAATATTTTGAAAAAACATTTTTTCCTATTCTTTTAGGTATATGTTTTACTACATTTTTCAATGCTTTGAACATTTTTATTTTCATTCCTTATACGATAAAAAGGGTCTAAGTTCACGTTTTCAAATGGCAACATATGTTTTTAATTCCATAAATTTGTAGGCAAAAAATTTTAAAATATGTTATCGTTTGAATTATTAATTTTTATCCATTTAGTCGTTAGCTATGACTTTGTACAGATATTACATTTTTTCTTAAATATTGTTATATTTCTTTGGTTTTCCAAAGACCGGGAGCCAATAAAATACTTATTTATGATCACATTGTCCGATAGATGAGTACACAGATAACCAAACACAATAAAATGTTTTGTGATATTTTGGTTGACCAGCGATTCATATTAATTATAGATTACCGACTTTTCTAACACACCGTCATGACAGGTAGGTTGACAGACCTATATTGACAGCGGCTAACGAATGGCTATTTAACTACAACAATCAAAAACCATGGTACAAGTAGGTTGATAACTGCTGCTATGATGATAATACAAAATATTATTATCATTACTTAAAGGTTTAGTAAGCGATGGTTTAAAAGAGAACGTAATGTCTAGAAGCCGATAGGCTAAAATATCGAATGTCTGGTGTATTGTAGATACCTATAACAAAAATGTATCAAACGTAGTACGTTATGTCTTGATATTGGTTGAATTAAAATCCTTATTTGTTCAGAAATCACCGTCTATGCCATTACCCGATAATGACGTACTGTACGTTTAGAATGTAAATATCAGCATAATGCATTAAATATGTATATTAAAGGTCTGGTGGTTTAACAGAAGTTCAAGTGTTTAAGAACTCAAGAGTAAAAAACATGAATGAAATGTCTAGAGGTCAATCTGTATATAATAAAACTTAAAAGGGAAAGAAGTGAAGAGTGATAAAAACATTATTTGGATTTTTTATTGACTATTTGATGACAGTGCTTATAAAAACGTCCAAAGAGAGGTTAAATAAAATGTCTCGATGCAAACCTTTTAAGTTTTTAGATCTGGAGAGTTACATAATATAATAATAAAAATATTCAGTGCATCAAATCAAATACCTATATTATTTTATACTTATCCAGTGACATATTTTCTATGTAATAGATAAATTAATATACATTCATATTTTTTAATCCATATATTTAAATCCATAAATTGATATTTTTTTAGATGGCTAACCAATAGTTCATCCTACTAAATGATCATAATTAAAATTTTAATATAATTTTATTTTTCATTATGTAATATCAATTTAAAAACAATTTTTTTTTTATTTGAATGATATGTTGAAAATCAAGTATGTGGTGTTGCTTACTTTACGGGCTTGGTAAGCAATGGTATAAAACAGAAAGAAATGTTTAGAGGTCAGTCGGCTAAATGTGTGGTATGGTGTTTTGCGAAACAAAACTTGTTTAAGTGTAGTACCTATACTATATAATATGTCTAGATATTGGTCATTAGAATCGTAATCTGTTGAGAAATCATATCTATGTCAGTATTTGGTATTGTACGTTTAGAATTAGAATTAGAATTTAATCATGAAAGGTACACGCGGTATACTAAAGAGGTCTGCTGGTTTGTCAGAAGTCCAAAATTGTAGAAAAATTATATGTTTGTGTATCCTGTGAACTCGATAGTAAAAAACAAATGAAATGTACCTAAATTAGTTATAATAGAATGAATAGCACAAATTATAAGTTAATCTAATCTAACCAAAGTGTAATATTCGAATTACAGTACAAAAAATATTGAAAATGCATCTTGAAATATTTTACATCAACAATCATACATACAATTATTTTAAAATTGGCAGTTAAAAATGTAAATAAGTTATTAGTTTTATAATTTGCTAAATGAGTTTGTAACATCAACAAAGTGATCTTGCATCCAATTTGACATTCTTATCATTTTTCGGCAGGCATGGAAATCAACAGACACTGTAAAAATTTAAATATATGCGTATATAGTTAGTATATGTTATTTATGTATAAGAATGTAATTAGACATACCAATACTGGTCGTTTCCAACGGTCAAAATATTTGGCTTGTATCGGTATCACCGATTGACAGTCTTCTCAAATTGGTGAATCCAACGTAGAAAAATCAAGTGGTAACATTAGAAAGCAAACTATCCGTTAATCAACATCAAAATGAATAACTACTGAAACAAAAACTCTGATCAATTAATAACCTAACCTAACCGTTGAAATGAAAGTGATATTAATTTATCGATATTAGTTACGTTAGAGCACTACCATATTTAATTAATTAATAAATATAAGAGTTTAATTTAATTATTTAAATTGGTGTTAATTATTTGTAAATTCAATTTAATTGCCTACAACAATGTCGTATACAGTATTAACTCGATACGCACAACGTGATACCTTTTAAAGTTGTTATACTAGGATCCTTTCAAGTTGATCAAAGCCAATGCCCAGCCGTTTAAACCTTCCGGAACTATACTTCAGCCAGACGACTAACCCACACTAAGTAGTAATCAACCAGACGCCTAATACGGGTTTAATCGTAATTAGGGACTATATTCAATTATACCTAGTGCAAGATTAATGCCTATTTCCGTAAGTATAGAACTTTAAAGAATAAAGACTATTTGCAATTTTGATCACTAAAAAGGTTGTCCTAGCACACGTTATTTAAAAGGTAAACTTTAACTCTTAAAAATGAGACACTAAAGGTAACGTTAATAAATAAATACGCAAGTCGAAAATATACTTTAGAAATAAAGTATAATGGCACAAAACAACAGTCGATACAATAAGTTCTCCACCTAGTTAATGCTAAGCGGAGAGACGCCTTTGGCTTGTTTTACATTCACCTTTTATAGTCAAAAATAGTTAATATTGTTTTGCTTATTTTACATTAAGTTAATGTGGGTCATTTGAATGATTTGCCGAATTGGCATTATTGTTATACAGTACATAATATTTCATTATTTGAACATATAATTTGTTTTGCTTAATCTATTTACTTAAATTCTACTCTATACTACAACAATAACTGACTAAAATTAAGACACACCCTTATATTAACTTTTAAGTGTTTAGATATGGACAGTTACATAATAATAATAATATTCAGTGCATCAAACACCTGTATTATTTGATACTTTACAGAGACATATTTTTAGATGGCTAACCAAAAATTAATCTTACTAATAATTGAATGTTAAAATAATTTTATTTTTCATTATGTATTATCAATAAAAAAAAAATAGCAATAGCAAATTGTTTAGGGTGAAGTGAATACTTCTATAAATAATGAAATAGTAAATGAAATGTTAACGTGCCTCAGATATTATAATATTAATCACCTATTAAATGAAAAATTAGTTCCAATAAAAATGATTTGACAATATATTGATTAGTGTATTATTAAGTTATATCTACACCAACAGCAACTAAAAAAAAGAACTTATACAATAAACTCCTTTAAAAAACGGTCTAACAACACAGAATGTTGAACGCTAAAATAATATGTCTGAAGGCAATACTTTATGTCAATTAATGTATATAATTTTTAAGCACACAAAATTAGCCCCAGGTGTTATTTAAATTATAAAACAAATGTATAATGTTTTACTCATTAACAAAGTATCTAATCATTGTGCAAATATTATTATACACAAATACATGGGTAAATTAAATGGATTTAAGAAGAGATGCCTGACCTTAACCGCAGAGATTTTTCGATGGCCGCAGGAAAATCAATTGTGGACTTCATGAGACGCCAGAACTTCCACAACGCCTTTAAAAGTATAATAATAATAATAATTAGTAATTGTAGTATTTGTCATATTCAAATACAGAGTAGATAGATAGAATATTAATGCTTACCGGTAAACGAAAGTGTCGCAGAGTAGGTATACCCATTGGGAACAGCCTAAAACAATTTATGCACATACATAGAAAATAAGTAGGTAGGTAATTACAAATATATACAACGGAAAAATATACAAACAACGAAAAAATAATATACCGCTACTATCACATGCCATAGCGGTGTTTATCAATCGTTTGTTATATTAATTTTTTTAAGACACGACTGCGTCATAAGTTCAATAGAAATTGAGACGACGATGAAATATTAAAAACGTAATGTATACATACCTACAGAACGTTACTTTTTCAACTCCAAAACCCAACCGCAAACACTGACCATAAAAAATACTTTTTCCGTTAATATTTAAGACACATTTCACGTTTATCCGTTCGGAGATAAACAACAAGACCGCCGCATGCGGTGCGCCGTTATCAATGGCCCAGACGAAATCCGCGGCGGCTATGACACCGTATATCTGGCCGTAGAAAAAATGAACAGCCGCCGGACGCAGCCTGGAAGAAACGAATAGCCTACCAGTAACGTTTTATTATTATAAGGATATACACAACAAACGCGTAATGAAAACACCAACTGACATGACCGTTTCAGACCCACGGGTATAATATTTGTTAAATATTAAAATACAATTTTACCTTCAGAGTGGACATGTTATTATGTCTTCGAATTTTTGCCGTAGACATTTGACATTTTTTTCAAATAATTTTTTACATTTTCTCAAATAATTGGTTAAAACAGCTGGCGATTCCAATAATTATTTCCTCTTTTTCCTTCTCGTTGGATGGTGTATGATATTACTGTCTGATAGAAAATACTATCTGCAAAAATAATAGTGCACAATGTTTTTTTTTTAATATTTAAAAAAATAATAATACAAAGCATAACATAATTTATTGATAGGTATACGATTATCCAGTATCTATGGATGATGTATGTTAACAAATATTTCTTCTAGAATTTATTGATATTAAATCACCTTATCGGTTTTTTGTGTATAATTAATTGCTGAATTAACAAAACTTTGAAATATTAATGTATCTGTTTAAAATACGATTGTCATATTTCTATTTTATTTGTATTCTATGGGTAATACCGACTAACAGTTGATTAACTACGGATTTATTCTAAGTTTGTATCTGTAGGACATCATTTTCCTAAATATACAATAACAAACGTATTTACCCGTATTGTAGTCGTTTTAACTTTTTCGTTCCATTCCACAATCACTATTACTTACTG